ATTAAACTGGTGTACCAGTGAATACATGAAATTCATTTGAAAGGTATATTTATAGTACTTATTATGCGACAACAATCTCATTCCACTGCGAATTAACGCATGAAAAATTCGTTATGGGAGCCTTTGCCTGACCTGCCGTAATTTTCGTGTCCAAACCAGAGATGAGACTCGTTCGAAGTTCAACTCAGTCCGTTCTCCAATTTTGTGTGGGGCGTTTAGAAAGCTTAATTAGATTCTCTCATCAGAAGTATGAATTTGTAACGAGGTAGACCGTCACTTTCATTAAACATGGCTTACGGCCAACCTGCTCTCAGAAAAATGCGTATAATTTTGTCCAGATAGCGATGCCTTTTTTGCCCTTGTGTGTATCATCCATTAACCAGTTTCACTCGGCAAACGGCATATCAGTGCTACACGTCCACTCCACTCGCGCTGAGGATAGTTAAGTGTGTCACTAGTTGGACAATCATTATAACTATATATACTTAACTAATCTGTATTATTATTCGTAGTTCTGAGTGTGCCGCGAAGGCGACGGTCAAATAGACCGATCCAACTCGGTCAGTTTTTTCTCCGTCGAGCTTCAATTCCGAAATCTGGCAATAATTCAACGATCAAATAAAGTATCAATGCAAAAACTTTTGCCACTAATGTCTAGAATGTTTATTTGATATTGAGATATTCTCCTTTGAGTACAAGATCAAGAATGAGTTTCACGTTGTCGGCTTGGACATTTGCGACGTGATGCAGCTTTTTATATTGCATGCTCTCTGTAGGAATTCTACCTTGAGTTCGCTCTGACATTTAGAAAAGGAAATTTATTATTCCCTGCGTGATCTGTTCCCTTGTGGTCGCATAGTTAATTATTGCAGCACAATTTGCAATACGTTTCTCCTGCTGTGCGAAGAATATATCGAAAGCCGCGTTACTCCATGACATATTTATTCTCAAACCCTTGATTGAGGATTTGGCCATGCATTTTCAATGTTCGTTATGAGACCTTCTTGTGAAGGTTGGTTTTTGTGCCGAGTTGTATAAGTCCTGGAAATTGCCACGTTTGGTAATGAAACCACATGGCAGTTACGTTGCTATAAACCTTGCCAAAGGGTCGACCCAACGCTGTGGACGTGGGGAAAAGTTCGCTCGGACCTAAAACTGACGTATATAAAAACTTAATAGCAAAGAAAACACCACAAAATTTCATAGTATCTTTAAAGAAAACGTTTCGGAGTCCAGCTCCATCTAACGTTTTCTTTAAAGATACTATGAAATTTTGTGGTGTTTTCTTTGCTATTAAGTTTTTAGTGAATTTGCGATTCAAGCAAACGAGTGATATTATGACGTATATAATCATTGTAAACTATTTTATGTTCTTTAGAATTATCAGCGAAGAGTCCAAGTTACTAAAACGTTCTGGGTAAATTAAAATACTCGAAAATTAATGCATGATAAAAACGTGAATTATTTGCTTCCTCCAAACAATCCCTAATTATATTCCACTGAAATGTCAGAGCGGAATCTCATGTCTACGGCACGAATTTATTCCTACCTCGAATTTATTTGGTTCTTTATTCAAAGCGACCGCTTTGGTGGCTGTTTTTTTATTCTTATGTGGTCAACTCAGTACACTGCAAAGGGAATCGTGACCGAGTCTTTGGAATTGCGCGATGTGAATAGGCTGGGCAGAGATCTTCGATTTCATTTGAACTGAACAACAATCGTTCAAGAATGTTTATTATATCAAAGTTATTCAAAAAGTTTCTTGCAAGTATAATTTTCCTATTTACTAAATACATGCATGCCATAATAAATCCATAATCAAGCTATAGTTTCAGTAAGTCCATCATACTAAGTAATAACCATTTTAGTATGATATGGATGATAAGTCCCTAATTCTTCAAGTCCTATGTTTAAATCTAGATTTAATAACATTTATAGCTATTTAATCATTAATGTACTTTAGGTTGAATTTCATTGTTCGATTGGAATGTGTATTCAAAAAAAATATATTTAGACATAAAAGAATGTAATCTTTCACATTAAATAATNTTTTTTTTGTTAAGATGCTATGATAGCATATCCTCGGCTCCATTAATTCTAAATACGAGCTAGAGAGGGATATAGGTTGACATTTCCCGCGCTGCGAAAGGGGACTATCTATTAAAACACAGCATTAATAGTATGCGAAATCTTTTTTCTTCACGTACCCTAATGGTCTTGATTGACTAATCAAAGAATTATGGTTTAGTTGACTAGCCTAATTAGAACAGAATGAAAACTCTTACTTCTTCAGTATGGTTTTGACCATTCAAAACTTCGTTAACTTTAATCTATAGAGAACAAGGACTCGGTGAAAGAACATTTTAACAAAAGCCTGTGTGCATTTACGATCATTTAATTGCATCTCCTATCTACTTGGTTCTGAATGAATGTTAACAAACGAGCTCAGAAAGTACCCATGTTCCTTTGCATTTGGGTTGTGGTGTATGGAGGTTAACCCTCCCCACGAAGCCACGCGGACGAGCGACCATATAGCAATTGGCCAGGGCAGCTCTCCATGATCAAACGTCAGTCAAGCAGTCGCGGTAGAAATGCGATCTCCGTTTTGAATCCACATCTAATCCAACATTACTGACTACATGTCGTGTCGGGTTTACTGGCTTGTCTATTCCTACTTTTAAGTATTCGTGGCTCAAGCGTCGTGCGTTGTTGCTGAAAATTGACGCACTCGTATTAGTAGCGTCATACGTTATGTGTTATAGAGCTGAGTATTGACGTGTTTATTTGACATTTAATCGATCTGAAGTGCAAGTATGATGTAATGTCATTTTTACGGCTAGACAACACGCAAGCTTGCTCTAAATAATTCCGGGGAGGCAGCGTCAGAAGACATAAAGTTGAGATAACGTTAACTGCGGAATATTTCAATGTCGCGTGTTGCAAGTTGATTGCTATAAAAAATTAACTACTGTGCATTACCATAAGACTTTTCGCGCGCGATTTCGCATGTATTATAACAATTAGTCCGCCTTGAGAACTACTCCAGTTTCGCGGTAATGAGAGACGGACAAGTTGTGTTGTAACTGCGGCGGTCGAGTATCGCGTGCATCTGCAATCATCCCTTCAAGCCGCACGTGACTCCTGTGATTACAGCGCACGTATCCTGTATTAGGACTATACGGTGCACGTATCATGTATACGATGCACGTACAGTCCTCGGATACTACATGCCAGGACATGTCTTTGTTTTACGTGCTTCACTATCGTGTAGCTTTTTACTCCTCGAGTCTTTATCTTAGTTGCGCTCATAAAAGGCGGCCCTGTAGCTGCAATCCGGCGCACTCAAATTTATTTCTCCTCAAAGTTGAATGGATCATCAAAGTGAAATTGAGCTTGAAGCTCCTGGTTAGCTTGTGACCCGATGAAATGATTTCACTTAATTTTTCTTCCTTGTCTTTCCCGCTTCGATCGTTATTATTTTCACAATATTGATTGCTATGGAAAACAGTTAAACGAATTCAATTTATCCCTTCATATTGTGTCCTTGTGTTTAAATGAAAACATTCACGGTCGCAGCTTGTAATATTACCTCGATTGTAAGGGAACTCTAAATATTTTGTTTTAGCCCGACCTCGGGCCTCAACTTTGAACTGCAAAAACCCGGAAATATTTTTCTCAGTTTTTATTCACTAGAGGCTACAAAGGCGGTATTGAGTGGCTTCATTCTCATTACAATTACTCTAGCGTTAGTGATCTTTTTCCTGTTGCATATTTGATCTAAGCTTAGCCAATGGCAAAGAAATTATAAAGAATATTGTTTATATTCTCGCGCCTAAACTCATTATGATTTTCTTTCATATTTGTCTCGTCTCATTATGAGTTACACGTCTTTACTCGCCTCTAAATTATAAACTATGGAAGAAAAACAACTTGAAATGGTTATGAAGTTTTGCAGTTTTGCAACGAACTTTTTGCCAAAATTTTTGGAACAAGTTTAATTTCGTGTTTGGATTGTTTCTTCAAAGTGGAAGATTCAACTGAAGCACTCGGATGTACATCATTACTTCGGGTATTGTTTTCTTTTTTTACATACATTCATTTCAAATGATACGTTTTCATGTGGAAATATTTGTTACCTTCATAATGCTTTCAAGGATCTGCCGATTCGATGGTATTTACTTCGAAAACTTTCCGAGATATTTTGCCCCCTGTAGAAAGGAGCCCCTAGTCGGAGTTCTGCACCTAAACTGAATTACTATTTTGCTTACTACTATGCGATAAATTTGTTGAATATGTCGTTCACAATTTTATGTCCGATGATGTCTACGGAACTCTTTTTATATCACGTTGGCCTATGTTAGGTTCAACACTTGTGCATTTCAATCCCATATTCCCAGTGACGTTGGATCAACCTCAACTCGTAATGTAATTTTTTCGTCTTCATACTGATGGAACTATGCCTCACGATTATTTATTACTGTTTGGTGCCACTATATAATTCGTTACCAAATTATATCAGATAATTTATTCATGGGCAGCATATTTTCATCCCCTGGCACGTTGCACCTGTAAAAATAGATGAGAATTTGTCCAAAGGGCGACCTGTGCTCTTGTGCCTACTTTTTAGCGCATTTTCTCATTTCTGAAAAAATGTACTATTGTGCTCGCCATGTCCGTCTGTCCGTCCGTCTGTCTGTCCGTTCGTGACTTCACGTTTTCGTCGACGAGAAAATGCGCTCTTTGTCACTTACTGCAGTGAGTACTGAGTTATATTTTTTTTGCTCTTGTGTGTGACATTCTGACCTAGTTTGACACAACAAAAAGGCTTATCAGTGCTTCCTACGTACAGAAAGTGTGTCGCTATTGGACAATGTAACCCATTCAGTATTATGAAAACATAAAACAACCCTAATTTGCCAAGAAAATTGAAATCAAAGAGAGCATCCAAATACAAGCTAAATAAAGAATGTAACCTAATTTATGGTCACTCTGTACCGCAGTGCTGCGGGACGACTTCAGAGCTACCCCGGCGGACACGGTGGTGGCGGCTGGAGAGGTCGCGCTGCTCGAGTGCATGCCGCCGCGGGGACATCCGGAGCCGCTGGTGCGGTGGCGCAAGAACGGACAGGTCGTCAATATCCAGGCCTCGCACAGGTTAGGTGCAACCCTCCTCGCACTTTGTTGCTGCAACACAAACTTGCAGAGAATATCCAGGCCTCGCACAGGTTAGGTCCAACCATCCTCGCACTTTGTTGCTACAACACAAACTTGCAGAGAATATCCAGGCCTCGCACAGGTTAGGTGCAACCCTCCTTGCACTTTGTTGCTGCAACACATACATGCAGAGAAATATTGTGACTTAATATAAATAGCGATACACTTTTTACCCTTGTATGGGTCTTACTGACACAGTTTGGACCGGCAAAAAAGCGTAACTGTACTGCGTCCACTCGTGTGGTGGGTGAAATAGTGTTTCACTATTTGGACGATATGAGCTATTTATTTTCTGAGTTTAGCTCTTGTAGAATAATAGAGATCAAATTCTGCGATCATCTGACACTGAGAGAGAGATATCAGGAGGTTTACAGTTATTTATTGAAGAACAGCTTGTTTAATGGCCGAACAAATGGTAGGTCAGTAATTTAAGGTAGACATGCTTTATTAGGAAAAGGATCGTATTGACAATTTAGCAATCCTATTGATCAGCAACCCTATTGATCAGCAACCCTATTGATAACAACCCTATTGATCAGCAACCTATTGATCAGCAACCTATTGATCAGCAACCTATTGATCAGCAACCCTATTGATCAGCAACCTATTGATCAGCAACCTATTGATCAGCAACCTATTGATCAGCAACCTATTGATCAGCAACCTATTGATCAGCAACCTATTGATCAGCAACCCTATTGATCAGCAACCCTATTGATCAGCAACCCTATTGATCAGCAACCCTATTGATCAGCAACCCTATTGATCAGCAACCCTATTAATAAGCAACCATATTTGTAAGGAACCGTACTATGATCAACAGGCACGAGTTTGTGGACGAAGGCTCTGTGGTGATCCGGGACGTGGAGCAGAGCGACGCTGGGCAGTACACGTGCGAGGCCTGGAACCTGGCGGGCAGCAAGACCACGCCGCCCATCCAGCTCTCTGTCCACAGTGAGCACCTTAATGACCAAGTCTGCTGGGCAATTTCTTTATTTTCTCATCCAAAACTTGTATGATTTGAATCTTTTGAACTCTAAGAACTACCTGAGGTCTTAGAAATATTGTGAAACGAGTAATCGAAAATTGTACTCAAGCTATGAAATTTTACTCTCGGTTAAATTCAACTCTTATTTCATTTACATTCTTTGAACTACCTTAACATTTATTGGTAAATAAATATTCCTAGACTATAAAGTGAAATAACGAGCGAGTAATCGAATATAGTTACTCGTACTGATCGAGACATTTAAATCATTTAATTGAATCATCATTTTCTAATCATTTTATGATTAGATAAAGAAGACGCATGTTTGTATTGCAGTCAAGCCTGCGTTCATCCGTGGGCCTCGCGACACCGTGACGCTCACGGAGCGGACGGTGGAGTTGGAGTGCGAGGTGTCCGGCGACCCGCCCCCCCTGGTGACCTGGCGCCGCCTCAGGGGGGACTTGCCCGAGCACCGGACCACAGTACTTGAGGACCACACGCTCAGGTGATTACAGTACTCGAGGACCACACGCTCAGGTGACCACAGTACTCGAGGACCACACGCTCAGGTGACCACAGTACTCGAGGACCACACCCTCAGGTGACCACAGCACTCGAGGACCACACGGTCAGGTAACCACAGTACTCAAGGACCACACGCTCAGGTGACCACACTACACTACGCTCCAGTAAGGTAACCACAATACTCGAGGAACCACACGCTCAAGGGATTTCTCCGTTTGTTCTATTTACATGTACGGAAGATTTTGAGTTTTTTGTGTTAAAAGTTCTTATTTTAATTTCTGTAATACTTGGAACGGTAATGAACGAATATGAGCCCCCAGAAAATTACTATCTGCCACTCATCGGCATTTGCAGTTACTTAGGCTCACTAAATTGGAAGATATGTTGAACAGGGCTATTCACGGAAAATTCATGTATTTATGACACGCCATGCAGCTAGATGTGGTCGGAAAGGGAGGGTAGTATTTCATATAAAAGGCAAGGTCATGAAGTTTAGTGTCCCGCCTGTCTGTTGCCATTACGCATTGGACAAGTGAGCAGCGTGCGTTTGCTGTCGAGGCGTACTTTTCTAATGGCCGGTACGTTATCGCTACTCAACGCGCATTCCGTGTTCGGTTCCGTTTTCGTCCTACAGGTCGGGTTCCTGGTCGGAAATCGATTGTTACGTGGGTGAACACATTTAGTGCAAGTGGAAGTGAGAATGCAAGAGGGTCTGGAGGTCAGCGGACTGCCGCAACATCCGAAAACGTTAAGAGAGTTAGAGGTGTTTCTACGTTTTCCACACCGTTCAGCACGTAAGCACGATGCTATCTTGGAGATTTTGAATAGCAGTGTGGCACAAATACTCCACAAAGAACTGCAATTTCATCCCTACAAATTGTCTCTGGCACATGAACTCGGCGGAAACGAATTTATTAGTCGCCGAAATGCATGCGATGCGCTTCTTGAGAACTTGCCTTACGATGCAGTCGTTTTCCTTAACGATGAGGTTTCACTTCCACATTTCCGGCAGTGTAAACGAGCAAAACATGCGTTTTTGAAGTGAACTGAACATCGGCGTGAACTCCATCAGTGGCCACTTCATTGTGAACGCGTAACTGTATGGTGTGCGGTGTCAAAAGTCGGCATAATTGGCCCTTATTTCTTTGAGGAAAACGAATGCGCAGTAACAGCGACTGCAGCTCGGTACACGCAAAGGATCGACGCCTTTTTTGGCAAAACTGGCTGAAGTGAATGTCAGGGATCTCTGGTACCAACAGGAGAGCCACGGCCCACACAGCGCGATGTTCGATGGATCTTCTGAGACAACATTTTGCAGAGCGCCTCATCTCCTTGAGAGGTGACCTTCTTTGGCCGGCCCAATCCCCCGATTTGTCTCCGTGTGATTTTTTATGGGTTTATCTTGAATCGGATGTTTACTATGACTGTCCAAGGACCCTACCTCATTTTAAAACAACATACGTCCAAGCCATCGCCAACATACCCGTCAATATGGCTAAGCGAATTGAACGGAACTTCCAACGTCGATTAACTGAATGCATTGACAATGGGGCCGTTATTTGTACGATGTCATATATAAATCTGAGTGATACAAAAAATCAGGTAATGTCTTTTTCAATAAAATTTAGATTGTAATGATATCTGGACTAATTCTTTTTTGTAATGCTTCCAAATCAGAAAGTTTCCGTAAATCACCCTGTATCTTGGTAATTATTTTATGAAGGGCACACTTGTAATTTAAGGGAAGATAATCAGATCATTTAAGAAAAGCAAGGATATACACGAGATAGTAGTATGGTGGCTGGATGACCTTCATCCATCATCTTGTGGTCTTACCAAGAACTGAGAATTTATTACTGATTATGTTAGCGTAATTGTTATTGAGTTTTCTTGTGTCGTTACTAATTGTTTATTGGAGTTCTTCCTAATTGTTGCAGAGGTCCTACAAAGGTCCGGAATGATCTGAACATCGATAGTTCGAAAAATGAGTTCAAAACGATTACTAATTTTCATCTTAAGCGATTTCTTTGATCGAATCTTCAACAGTATAAATAATTAAATAATAATCAGTAATAATGAAATAAATTGAAAAATTGGAAAATATTGCTGGTAATTTTTCCCCTCATTGAATTTGCTATTTGAAGTTTTCACCGTAACTTGAGATCAAAGTCAAGCCTGATCCCAACTCCTGATACTGATAGGCCAGCGCTCACGTCATCGCTTGCAATTATGGCTCATGCGTTAGCCTTAAGGTTGATCTTGTACGAGAACAGCTGCTTTTGTCGGCTATATACGAGTGGAATATCTCAGCTCTGAATTGCCATCAGTTAAAGCTCACGTCTGATCGATCTTAATTGAGTGCTTAACACCCCTCCGCTCCTCCGTAATTGAGATTGAGTTAATCCGTGCTCAATGGTCGTTGCTGATCATCGCCTGACTTATGGAAGAACTTTTTTATTCTATCTGGTCATTTTATTTTATTTTTAAGCTAAATTGATGTACCCGAAAGTTGCGACCTAATGTCGTAGTTTTAATTTAATTCTTATAACGCAACTTGAATTCATATATATCCAATCTGTAGTTACGTGTGTACTGTGTAGCGTCTTGAAATGTTATAGTTATTTCAAAGATAACTCTGATTGAGGAAGTACGTTATTATCAAATGTTAATTCCTGTAGAAAGTTTACTTCGAATGCAACACAGCAAAAGCTATTGATGAATTTTACCTCGATTCAGCCTTCACAGTATGTTAGGAAACAATGAGTAATTAAATAATATACATCAGCGGTGGTTACTGGTTACTTAATCTTGCGTGCTTTTAAGAAAATGAGTAAACTTTAATCAAATATTTCTGCACCTTACTCCGTTTTACAATGGTGAGAAATCAATGCTGCTGACAGCTTACAAGATGTCCGTTGTACCCAAGTTTTTCATGTGTAACATAAATATGGGTAAGATAAATAATATAAATAGGCTTCTTGAGATCAAGAGAAGTGCTGACCTCTCACGTGATGTTGCATGAGCCGCGGCCCATTAATCCTGCTTTCCAAATCAGAGGCCAACTGCTCTGCCTACATGAGTTGCTCTGCCAACATTAGTTGCTCTGCCAACTGCTCTGCCCACATGAGTTGCTCTGCCAACTGCTCTGCCCACATGAGTTGCTCTGCCAACATTAGTTGCTCTGCCAACTGCTCTGCCCACATGAGTTGCTCTGCCAACTGCTCTGCCAACATTAGTTGCTCTGCCAACTGCTCTCAACATGAGTTGCTCTGCCAACTGCTCTGCCAACATGAGTTGCTCTGCCTACTGCTCTGCCAACATGAGTTGCTCTGCCTACTGCTCTGCCAACATGAGTTGCTCTGCAGAAGGCTTGCGATGCCTCTTGCCTGAAATACTTTGATGCTGCACCAAACCCATCACTCTAAGAAATAAGTGGAACTTTGTCCGGATAGCGATGCAGTTTTTACCCTTGTGTGGGTTATTTTCATCCTATTTGGCACCAGGAAAAATGGCGTGTTATTGATACGTTCAGACTATTTGAACATACACGTATTATTTATACGTGTCACTATTTGGACAATATTTCTGTCGTTTTTCTTTTCTGAGTGCAGCGTTGGCGCTGAGATTCTGTGACCCTTGAAGCCACGGCTCGGCTGCAGTCACGCATTACGTTCACTGAACAATAATCGGCAAAAAATTTAAATTTTCGTTTTTTCAATACAATTTGCATTGTGCTAGAGTCAAACTTTTAATTATGTCAAATGTATTTCCTGAGAAATGAAGTCGGCAAGGTTATATACGTGGATTTCACCTTTTTGTTTATGGAAATAATACCTAGATTAAAAGTCAGATATTGCGACATTAACTCTTTTCAGAAATGAAATGCGACATGGGAAGTCATATTCCTTGCCTTGCTGCCAAACTGTGATTTACTTAATTGATTTGTGAGGATAAGCAGAAAGAAGTTATAATTATGCATATATACTAAACGCAGGTGTGTGGATAACTCATGGGAAATTGTTTTGCGGATGCCTGGGTTGAAAAATTATTATCTATAGAGGCGATATTTTCATGTCTCGGCTGGAAAGATAACATTTCTCAGATCCCTGAATTGTTCATTGAATTTTTATACTTGGTTATTAATTTTTTTTGTTCACTCCTCGCTTTACACTGTTGACAAGTGAAGACAGTTTGTAAATTGTAGGCCAAAATAAGATAATGATAATTCTAGGATGGTTTCATGTATTTGAACGATTACGAATGTATTTTTATAGTAATTCCTCCTATCCCTAAAAATCTTTTCCAACTTATTATATATTCGTCCGCTAATATTGCTGCTAGTTTCAAATTGTCTGAATTTGTGATCCGTATCATGGTGATAATTTGTGAACTGAAATCGTTATTACCGGAGTAATGTTTGTAAGCTTCTTCCCTTAGCACGCGGACTTAAACCTAACGCTGTTCTTTTAAATGACGAAATCATGAAGAATCTTCTTATATTTTAACCTGACTCAAGGTCTGTCCTACCTGGGAATTTTTATTCAATTTATTAGCCCGTTCACCGAACGGTCGCTCTTGTTGAGATGAAATTTTGCCCTGGACTGCGCCGACACAGAGAAATAAGCAGGTCATTGTCCGCAAGAGCGATTCACTTCTTGTGCTTGTGTGGGGGATTCTGACCCACTTTGGTCCGGTAAAATTGCTGATCAGTGCTACGTCCGCTCTCTGCTCTCGATTTGGGTTTGAAAGTGTGCCATGATTTAGACATTACCCATTCATGTTTCAGCATGCATGATTCTCTTTAATACAATTATATAAGCTAGGGACAATCTGGTCATTTACCCACCCATTTTTCTGCCTGCATGTTTTTTGGTGGGATGGTATGAGCCTGGGACGATCTGGCCCTCCTCATACTCAAGCTGGCGCTCAAGTGACCGTCGTCCCACTTTATGACCGCCATGATGGCCCAGCTCGTGATCCATGGGCCCCACCCGTGGCCTCTTCTCTCTTAACTTATTCTCTTTTCCCCTCTAAAGTTATTGATAAAAATTGCCCGTCTTGCTGGGCATGTTTCAGAAACTGCAGAGGAATGTTTGTAGGCTGCACTGGTATGGGGAGATGGTTGCTTGTTGCAATAAAATTCTGTAGGGTTTCCTAGCGTACCTCTATCGTACTATATAATCTTTATTATGACAGTCGTTACTTGAATCGCTCCGTGTGAATTACCGTTTGAATCGTACTCAGAAAATTTGGAAAACATACGTTCATGAATTCACTGTCTCAAGTAACGAATATTTTGCAAAGTTCAACGAGAGGTTTGATGATAAAAGTAACATTCTATTCATATGATATACGGTTGCCAATTCACTTGAATTTATTTTCAATGGTTTCGTAAGAAGCTATTCGTGCATTTGTTCCCAATGCTAAAAAAGACGAACATTTGCGTTTGCCTTCCATGCCAAACATATACGAACTGTTGCGTTTATTCTCCGTGCCAAACAAAGACGAACTGTTGCGTTTGCCTTCCATGCCAAACAAAGCCTTGGGTTTGTCTTGCATGCTGAACAAAGTCTTGCGTTTGATCTCCATGCCAAACAAAGCCTTGGGTTTGTCTTGCATGCTGTACAAAGTCTTGCGTTTGCCTCCACGCCAAACAAAGACGTTTGTCCCGCAGGTTGTCTCACGTGACGCCGGCAGACGAGGACACGTACATGTGTGAGGCCGTCAACGTGGTGGGCACTGCGAGGGCCAACGCCTCACTCACCGTCTACTGTGAGTAAAAGTTACAGTTACTCTCAATTACGCCTCTAAACAAATCAAATCATTCGTCGTATGAACGAATGATTTGCGTTAATTACTTTATTGTGATTTTTTTCATTGTCCTTTTCATATTGTCAGCGTTTTAACGGAAATTAGCTATTCCTTATGTATTTTTCTTAATTATATATTACCAGTGTTGTATCGTTCACCGACGACAATGTAGTGTCGAATATAATCACCTTCATAGGGTCCTTTTATTTTAATATTGTCGGGTGAAGGAAACAAATTACCAATTCCTCATAGCCCCATTCTTATTTTAAAATGGTCAGTGCATTGCTATAAATTGCGACATTGTATTATCTTCCTCTTAATCGATCGAGCGGCAATATTCAGTGCACTTATTCAGTTATTTTTCAGCATGATGATATTCACAACATCAAGGTTTCAAATTTTATTCTTCTAGAATTGAAGCATGCATGAAATTTCCGCTTTCCGCCTAACAGATAAATGCAGGTAAAAATTTTACAGGATGAAATTTTAATTTTCGCTCAATCAGATTGCAATCTCGTCTGAAAATTTAAATTCTTTACATTAATTGCCTATTCCATCTCAACTTGTATTCATCAATGAGAGTTTTAACGTCATTCAGAAACTTGAAAATTTTTTCATCGCTGAACATTAATCAAATCAAAGAGAGCATAATTTGAATCGCACGAAAACTGATCAAATGACATGGAATGAAGATTTTAATTTAAGTTAACAGCAATTTTTAATCAAAACACCGATTAAAAACAAACACGGAACAAAAATAACCTCGTTGATTGCGTTCCCAGTTCCAGCTGCATCAAGTTTCGATGCAATCACACTCTTGGGAGCTCATTACCTCAATCAAGATGAATGCTACCCACGTGAATGTGAGCCTGGAATTAATTAACTGATTTTTGAGGATCACATTTTCTGTTTAAATAAAAACAAAACATTCCACAAAATTTTCCATTGAAATCTCGGAATTTCATCTGCATTTGTGTCTTTTCATGTTCATTTTTAATGAACTCATGCCGTTTTTACGTTCTCTGTGTCTCAGTCCGCCTCTGCGCTTCTCTTCCAATTTGGAGTTCATGGGAATTCGAACGGTACTCTGCAGATGTTTATCTACGTTGATCCTCTCTTAATTTTGCTGATACCTATCATTCCAATCAATTCGCTAAATATTAACAAAACTGCTGTTTTGTTGATAATATATTAAAATATCATAAACGACTATGATTACGATTAAAACATAAGAAACGAGTATAAAGGTCTGTAAAAAATCATAAACGAATATCATTAGAATTGAAATATCTTGATGTAACCCGCCACACAGCCGCTCCGGAGTTCCTCGTGCAACCTGAAGACGTAACCGTCGAGGAAGGCGCATCGGCGGCTTTCGAGTGTCTGGCTGTTGGTCGCCCGCCACCGCTGGTAGTTTGGAGCCGCCGTGACGACCTTAAACTGCTGCTGCCGCGCGCCAGTCCACCCTCGGCCGACCAAGAAGACTCGCCCAACATTTGGGTCAATGTAGAGGGCACCCTCATCATCAGTAAGGTCGGTGTTCCCCAAATTTCTCCAGTTATTGATTAAGTGGACTTGATATTTCTCGATTTTTTTCTTGTCGATCAAATGCTAATCGCTAATCATTTATTGTTTGATTCTAATATTTTTCGACATTTTTATTAATTTTTACCAGCGTATACCAGAAGTCTAGAGTAATTTTTATCTAATCAATGTAATCATATGGGACAGTACCAGCCAATTGCCAAATTAGAGTAAAGATTTGCTGTGCTCCTACTCTGGGACGGGATCGTACTGTAATTGTGGAGTAAACGTTAAATATACCGGTATGTTAATGGTTTACCTTCATGATTGGTGGTGCCGCCTATCACGAAGTTATTATCAACCAATTCCTCGTAATAATTTCAAAACGTAGCCTTTGCAGTCTAAAGTGCCTTCTTGCACTTCTCACTAATTCGCATGAGTTATTCAATAGCGATTAAGAGCAGGTTAAAATTCTGCCATTTTGAGCGCATCTGAAAAATCGTGTGGTAAAATTCATATTTCTACAATCGACGATCCTTGAATTTCATACCGAAAATCTGTGCGTGTGCAGTGGATTATAGAATGAACTTAACAATAAATATATTTTCGTTCTATTTTCTGGCGATACATGGGTTTGTGTCTTTAATTGATACGTGTCATTTAAGATACAGTATCACGTCCGCTAGTAAGACACTATAGCCACGTCTCAAGAACACATGCTGTGCTTCAGGTACGTCGGGACCAGGCTGGATGGTATACCTGTGCCGCCGTGTCGGCGTCGGGGTCTATCGTGTCACGGGCGTTACTCAGAGTGCCCGCCACTACCCGCCTCCCGCCACCCTTGCTGGCAGTGCGTCCCAGCGATGTATCAGTAGCGAGGTCCTCCGTTGCCATGTTCCGGTGTCAGGCCCAGGGCGACCCGACGCCGTCCATAGCCTGGCTGAGGGAGGGCGATGATACGCCCATACCCGCCGACCACCCGCGCTACACCGTCCTCGGGTCTGGCACTCTGCAGATCAGCGGTGCGTGGCGATCGCGTGTTTTTACTCAATGTAGTTGTTTCATTTTCCATTTTTTGTATCATATTGTAGTTAAATTGCTATTGTATTCCATTATTATTATTGTAGCATCTTATCCGTTACGAAGGATTTGAAAAACGCGACTTTTCGTACTTTCTTATTAAAATCGGTTTCTGCGAAACAAACAAAACAATGGGGAACATTAGTAAAAATTAGTATTGCACATGTGGTAACTAAGCTAAGTAAAACACTTTATTTCGACTATGAACACATTGATCTTAAAATCGCAGGTAAATATTCAGTTCACGATTCCTAATTAAAATACGTACCAAATATTTCCTTCAACCAGGTAAGTCGAGAGCCAGCATCGAACTAAATCGTAGCCGTTGGTTAAAATAGACTATAGCTATGCTGCGCATGACACACACGCACCAGGCGGACAATATATTTGACGAATTACCGTAAGAACTTAAAACCTAACACCGGCCCCAAATTTTGAGATAACACAAATTTAATATTTAAAAAAGCTCATCTGAAGTTCTTAAAGAATCAGCTTGGTTATTGGACGCTCCACTATCAATGTGCCCAATCGAGTGACGGAAGAGTCACGAAATTTGGCGATCCGAATCTTGGCTGAACGTTTTCTTCCATCTGCACTCTCAAGCGCCTCAACCACGCGCCCAAGAGGCCAATTGTTGCGAGGCAAGTTCTGATCCACCACCAGAACCAGATCACCCTCCTGTATCGGTCGTTTTGTTGAGCTCCACTTTTGACGGCTCTGCAAAAGCGACAAATATTCACGGCGCCAACGGCTCCAAAACTGGTCGGCGAGATATTGCACTTGCTTCCATCGACGCAAGTGGTACGCGTCTGAAGAGGTGAACAAACCAGGAGGAAAGGTATCCAAGGAATTTAAAAGCAGGAGATGATTTGGCGTTAGTGCGTCGTGGTCGTTAGGATCATAGCTTACGGCAGTTAGAGGCCTGTTATTTACGATGGCCTCCACCTCGCACATTAAGGTCGAAAGGAGGTCGTCCGATAACTTTACCGGTTGTTCGCTTAACAAGGATGACAAAACCTTGCGGACGATCCGGATCAGCCTCTCCCAAACTCCACCGAAATTACTTGCGTAGGGAGTATTAAACTTCCACTCGATGCAATGTCGCGTCATATATGCATCAATGTCTGATTTATTCCATGACTCGATCAAGGTTTTCAGTTCTCTGTAGGCTCCGACGAAGTTGGTGCCGTTATCACTTGTGACTGAAGAGACGTTGCCCCTTCTGCTCACAAATCGACTGAAAGCGTTCAAAAAGGAATCTGTTGTGAGTGCAGGTGCGATCTCTAGATGAATCGCCCGTGAGCTCATGCACGTAAAAATTACTCCATAACGCTTCTCTGACTTCCTACCGTGAACGACACTGAAGGGTCCGAAGTAGTCCACGCCCACGTGAGTGAAGGGAGGTACGTCACCCTCAACTCTTGATGACGGCAGGTCCGACATCAGCTGCGTCATGGGTTTACCCTGGTATTTGCGACAAATCAAACAATCGCGGAGGACTTTCTTTATCAAAACTGACGCACCAACAATCCAAAATTTGGTCCTGAGCGCTGAGAGCACAGTGGACTTACCTAGATGACCGCACAAGCGATGCGCTTCTTCAGCTATCAGCACGCTGATGCTGGAGGTTCCCGGCCGCAGAACGGGGTGGCGCACTGAATACTTGGCAGAGCTCAACGATAGGCGTCCACCAACACGCATCAAACCGCCATCGTCAATGAAAGGATTCAATTTTTTCAATTGAATACATTTTACATTTCTATTTAGTATTTCCCCTTTTAGTTGCGGGTATGCCTCTCTTTGTACGTATACCAAAATTGCGTGTTCAGCAGCACTCAACTCTTGTAGAGAGATTCCTCGTCGGGGAATTGACGCACGTGTTCGCAAGTAACTTGCGTACCTTTTTAACCAGGCAACCTTTGCCTTTAGTTTTAGCCAAGAGGACGAGGATTGCAGCAAAATATCTGTAGGGTTTTCTTGAGACTTGCAGGTCTTGAAGACTGTCGCCTCACTTTTAATCTCTACGTCATCGACTTCGAGAGCTGGAACCTCTTTGGGAATCTGGAGCGCGTCACGTAAAAATGAAGGACCTCTGTTCCATAGTTCGCTGCTTGACAATCCTCCTGCAGTGGAACCTCTGCTTATTATGTCAGCAGGGTTGTCTGCCGAGGAGACATGGTTCCAGTCTGTCGGAGATGTATGGCTTCTGATAAAGGAAATACGATTGCTCACAAAACGATGGAACCGCTTTGTCTCATTTTTGATGTAACCAAGAACTGTCATTGAGTCGGACCAAAAGAACCTCTTGTCAAATGAAATTTGAGATTCCCTCGTCAGCACGCAGGCCATCTCCACGCCCAATTTCGCACTGCAGAGTTCGATCCTAGGAATAGTTTTCAGAGTATTTCTACTCAACGGCGTAAGACGTGATTTAGCAAACAAGGGTGGACTTACTTCCACTCTACGTGACGAAACGAACCTTGCGTAAGCAACGGCTCCATAGGCCATTTCGCTTCCATCACAAAATACGTGGAGTTCGACTGATTCCGCTTCGTCTGATGCTCCTCGTGGGGCTCTAATGCATCTTGGGATCTTTATCAAGTTCAGTTCCTTAATGCTGCAAACCCACTTCATCCAAGCATTGTGTAGGATGGTAGGTAACACATCGTCCCAGGCCAACTTGAGGCGACAACACTCTTGGAATATTTTCCTGCCTTTTATCACGGCAGGTGAAGCAACGCCCAAAGGGTCGTATATCGATGCAACCACGCTCAACACATCTCGACGGGTCGCCTCTTGGCCCGGCCAGTTGAACTTGTACATTAACACATCCTGTTCGGTGTCCCAGGTGAGACCGAGAGTCGGGCTATTCAGCTCATATCCGGCTATTTCGTGAACAGGTTCGACAACGCTCGACTCCTCGATGCCAAGAACCGAATTTACGAGCTCCTTAGAGTTGGCACAAAATCCAGTTAAGTTAAAGCCTCCCTGCGAAAGGACACTCTTGATGTTCCCGTACAAGGTTGCTGCTTCTCGCACCCCTCCGACCGATTTAAGAACATCGTCCACGTAGAAATTTTGAAAAATCGTACCTTTGGTCTGCAGGTCCGTTGAAAAATCAATGGCAGCCTGTCTCAGGGCAAAATTGGCAACGCTCGGCGAACTACGGGCACCAAACACGTGGACTTTAAGCCGATATTCTGAAGTCAAACCAGTAGCGTCATCAATCCATAGAAATCTCAAGAAATTAGACTGTTTTAAGGGCACTCTAACCTGATAAAACATTTGTTCTATGTCTGCAGTAAATGCACAAATGCCTTCCCTGAAACGTAAAAGGACGCCGGTCAAATTATTCGTCAAATCCGGCCCTTGCATCAATTTTTCATTCAAAGAGACTCCATTAAATTTCAAAGAACAGTCGAAAACAACTCTAATCTTTTTCTTCTGTTTGTGATACACCGCATGGTGGGTTAAGTACCATACCTTGCCGTCAGGAGCTGCAATATCATCTTGAGGCACCTTCTCAATATAATTCCTTTCCAATAAACCATTCATGAATTTTTTGTATTCATCCTGAAAACGTTCGTCCTTTCTGAATTTTCTCAGCAGAGACGCAAATCTTACCTCGACTTGAGCTCTGTTCAGCGGGAAAGAAACATCATCATCGTAGAACGGCAACTCAATCTCATACTTTCCATTCGAAGTACGTCGTAAACTATTTCTTACCTTATTGAGCCACCTTTCGTCCTCTACCGACTGAGAAGGTTGGTCATCAGGCTCAAAGTAGTCATGCGAAAAGAAGCTTTCTATGTCCGCTTCCAGGTTGTGAATATTCAATTTAGATCGCTTGCAACGGGTTCCCTGCTTACGTCTGGTTACTGGACCGTTGAACGCCCAACCGAGCCAGTGAAGGGATGCAAACGGTTGGTCCCACTCACCATCAACCGTAGAAAAGGTCTTAATGAGACCAGACGAGTTCAGGCCTATCAGAACGCCAACGTCGACGTCCACGAAATCAAATGGCACATCTTCCAAATAAGGCAAATTTTCAACATCTTTATAAGTGGGAATATCATTCCTCGAAAAAGGCCAGCTTGCTGACAGCTTCGTAAATAGAACAGGAATTGACGTTATTTTACCGCCGTCTAGTGGGGAGATCTCCAAATTCGTCAAAATGGCAGTCTCGATTTCCTTTTTCACGTTTTCCATGGTACTCAAAAAGACCTTGGTGGGACGAGTATCAGCACCCAACTGTTCGATTAGATCATCTCTAATCCAGCTGTCCGATGAATGACTGTCAAGAGCTACGTTCACGGTGATGAATTGACCATTTCGGATTCTAATTTTAGCGGNCTGTAGCATCTTATTCGTTACGAAGGATTTGAAAAACGCGACTTTTCGTACTTTCTTATTAAAATCGGTTTCTGCGAAACAAACAAAACAATGGGGAACATTAGTAAAAATTAGTATTGCACATGTGGTAACTAAGCTAAGTAAAACACTTTATTTCGACTATGAACACATTGATCTTAAAATCGCAGGTAAATATTCAGTTCACGATTCCTAATTAAAATACGTACCAAATATTTCCTTCAACCAGGTAAGTCGAGAGCCAGCATCGAACTAAATCGTAGCCGTTGGTTAAAATAGACTATAGCTATGCTGCGCATGACACACACGCACCAGGCGGACAATATATTTGACGAATTACCGTAAGAACTTAAAACCTAACAATTATATCGTATTAAAATATCAGTTGCCACTAGATTGGGTTTTACGAATATTCACTGTTTATTGTTCAATTTAATGTTTATTTCAAAATTCAACATATATGTTTCCGGTGAGTAAATAATTCTATATTTATTTTGAAATATTTTTACATTGTGTTCATGTTCATTTACTTGAACTGATATTTTTTGTAAACATACATTGCCATTGCTAT